TGGAATCCGCAGATAAGACGACAAATTCGAATTCCGAGATTCGGGGCCCCGATACGATCGACACGAAGCGCGCGGCCTTCACTCCTCTCTTTCTCCCCCTTTCATCGGATTCCCCGGGGACCTCTCGGCTGGTTGCGTTTCGCAAACGCGCAATTTACTAAACGATAAATCGAGCAATAAACGACTGATATATCTCTTGAATCACAGAAGGTCTGGATGTGCCCGGCTATCAAAAATTCTAACTCGAATTCGAAGACCAGAAGAAGCGCGAAGAATCTAATAGATTCAAATGTAGAACAAACTTTAAAGCCTATACTTCGCATTGCACTTGCTATAGCTTTTATTACTGAACAATATTGACAATCCATGTAGAAAATTGCTAGGCGATGTGTCATCAGTACTGTTTATTGCGATAAATATTACCATATGCCTCAGTGGTCGAATTGGTGAGACGCACGCCTAGAGAGTAGGGAGGGTCCAGGTTCAAACCCTGGCTGAATTGATATTTTTCGACAAAAGGAATTGCTAGACGACTTTAGGCTGGCAGGCGGTTTATTTATCTAAATCCGACGTTTCGGCCATACGGGTTGTGGTCCTTCTCAAGGAATTCAACAATCTACAAGTTTTTTCAAAGGACATTGCAACTCAAAAGTGTGTCGACTATAAAACGAAATCAACGCAAGTCAAATACGAGTAAAATTCTCTTCAAAAACTTACAATATTACGCCATTGATAATCTCTGGGCATCACTCGAAGAACTATGTTAGAAGGCACGTCCATCCGCTGTAACGACCACAATAGGACTAAAGTCTAATATTTTTCGCAATGAATTTCTCTGATTAGATTCTGCCAGCCAAGCGTCGTCTAGCAATTGTCTACATTGGTTAATCAGTTACCGGCGATAAATAATTCTTTACGTTAATATCGATAATGTATTTATTTTCCCGTTATATAATATACTTCTCCTCCTTCGTTGAGGATAAAATAAATTAAAAGTAAATAAAACTTCGGTCTTTTTCCCCCGTATCGTTCATAGGAAAAAAAAAGAAGAGAAAGGATTTCGAAAGCGCGGCGATTTGCCCCGAAAGGTGATGGTTGCGCGGAAAATCGGTCCGCGTGATTTTCTGATCGCGCCGGCACACGCGACACCGGCGTTTGTTTTCTAGCGTGAACCGCGTAGTGTTTCCGGTGATGCGATTTTCGTAAACTACGCAATGCGGCGCGGCGCGGCGCGACGTCGTCCGGATGCCAATCACGTTTGTCGTGTATTGCGCTGGTGCGTGCCAGTCGATTTCGCGTGCACGCTCTCTGCCATCCGAAACTGATAATGGGCGTTGCTCCGCGAGTAATGCGATACGTTTGTGCGTCGCGCGTACATACGCAAATGCGTGTGCACGTACAAGCGCGCGCGCGCGCCTCACGTCAGTGCACGGCCTGGCGCGCATATTTAGCCGTAAGATCAAACTGAAACGACTTTGCCATTATTTTAATTCTAAACGATACAGCACCGTTTGTCCTGCGCGCGACCACGAAAAACACGATGCTCCATTTCGTGCGTCACACGCGTGTATGTCGCGATGCGTACGCAACGAGGATAATGATTGAGGTGGCAATAATTTGTGCACCAATTTACAAATTGCACGCTAAAGCGCAAAGGCGTAGCGTGCGCTACGAAATATTGCGATTTTGCGCGAAACACTTGCCACATGAAAAGTTACAATCTTATTATACGTACAAGCTCTGTACTATTCCACTAGAATAATACTTGGTTCGCATAAAAATATGCTTCCGCTTTTGTTTTTTCGTATTACACATTTCTCGTTTCACTTGTTGTACGTAGCAAAATTACCGCGTGCTAAAAACGCACGCATTTGTGTGAGTTTTATGCAAACGTTCAATGCGTTTGAGATCAGACAAGCTGAAATAGAATCGCGGTTTTCAATTGGGCAAGGGTTAACTATCGTTTCTTCCTTCGATAAGCCCTGGAGGACGGGAAAGCCGGAAGTCATACCGAAAGATTTATGCGCTTCCGAGTGCGGCCCCGGCTCTTGCCCCCGATACTCACGCCCACGAGCGGCAGTAGATTACGTGGCATTTTTGCATTGCGTCCTGGGCCTAGGCTCCATCGAGATTTATGAGTTATGCAAACAACAAGGAAGTCTCGTCCGGAGCTAAGGGTGCGAGAAGTGACTCCGCCCTCTTCCCTTTCTTCGACGCGTAAACTGGTTTAATGTGGTCTGGTTTATCTCGCCTTTCAATTCTATTGCGGCGTAACATACAATAATTTAACTCGCGTGACATAATTTATATTTAATTAATTAATGCGCTAGTGCTCGCGTGGATTAATATTATTAACTAGACTGACGACAATTTGCTTGTTTATATACACACGTGTTTATGGAGCAGACATATGTATCGCGTGCATATTTATTTATACATATTTTCGTTTCTTTTAAAGTTATCGTTTAACTGACATTTAACGAGACATTGTTTAATGAAACTGTGTTGTCCGAATGCACTTTATATGAAATAATAATTCAATCAGGATAAAATAATAAAACAATAAAATAATAAAATGAGAGATATGTGATATTATGCAAGAGGCGTGTATCACATTAAGGTAAAGCATACTTGGCACATGTGAAAAGTTACAGATACGCGGGCAAATAAATAAATAAATTATGACACGATGGTCAGAGCCGCGTGGGTGGAAAAGGCAGATGCGCCTGTCCAAAAAGGAGAATAGCCTCTTCGCATTGGTCCAACCGTGGTTTCCATGGACGCGAATAATCGATCTGTTCGCCGCTGACGTTTGTCTCTTCTACAGAGCATGCTCCAATGAAACCCGGTTCTTCTCGGCCGAGGCATTGCGTAATAATACATTATTATATGCATTATACAAGATATGACAAAGTAATTTAAGCAACTTGAAGCTGAATTTTAAGCTACTTCAAAATTAGCACTGGAGGCCAGCAAAATTATAAATTAAGATTCCGATCATTGAATACCAGGAGAAATATGTATCACGATTGGTCGATAATTTCATTCTTTATAACAACTAACAATATTTTGGCACAATCCAGAGTACGCTGGCGATTAATACTATTTATAATAAGTTTTTATTATAATTTTCCTTAATGTATGTAAATACAAAATATTAATTTGCTGTCATATTATTTACGTTAATTAGTAATTTCGTTATTGATATACTCGTCGCGATCGTTTAATTGCACGGGCGCTCTCTTGTGTACCACATTACATTATTATTCTTCAACCATATTTGTGTAACGCTTCGGCGCGGTGTGTTATTGTGAAATTTATTCGTAATTTAATGTTGCCTCGTAAAACCCAGCTGTGCCGGACGATCGGATGCGTCGACCGATTTTATTCCGAGCTGTCAGATCGCTCAGGTAGTCTGACTCCGTATTACGTTACCCGCCTGCACTCGCTCGATTGCGCTCGCTCGCGCTGCCGGCTGGACGTCACCTGACTTTAACTTTGTTTCGAATTAATCGAACTCGAGGCGTCCGTGGAGAAATGCACTCGTTTCGCGCGGGTGAGCGTTCATTAAGTAAAGTTGATTGCCGTCGTATCGCGAGGGCTGAATCAGTCGGACGTCGAAATAAACGAGAGTCGAATAAATGCCGTCGGACTGGGTGTTCTTGATGGGGCGAACGCGTAAAGAGTATAATTTTCGCGATAATTCATCCAATTTGGGCAAATTAATATCGATTATTATTGACGTTACACATTTGTCGATCATGAATTCTGTTGTCTCTTTCAATTTCGCCGGTTAAATTTTAAAACGTCAATTTAAAAGAAAGTTGCTTTTAACAATATAACGACGACGTTGGTGAGGTATTGTTGCGAATCTGATTTCTTTCAATTCCTCGCTACCGCTGTTTGATATGACGCATAACTTGTTCGTGCAACTTCGTGCTTTCGTTCTAATGCTTTGGCGAACTGCTTTGCCGATTCTACTCATTAACTATGTTGCACCGCCTGCAACGAAGTGCGCGATTAAATTACTCCCTCGCGAGTATCAGCCGTCAACAACGGGAACTTGGCTCGTTAATGCGGTCGGAAACGACGTAGACCAAGTTCCAAGTTCTGCAACACCCTTATACGGATTAAGTAACGCTTCGTAGATGCACTCGACTTTGGACGGACGGTATTGTGCAACGCGATGATTACGACGGTGTTGCTCTTTATAGACGACAGAACGCGGTAATGTGAATGCATACACGGTATTTAATTGGGAATATACGGGGATTGAAAGACACAAACGGTTGCAAGAAAACTATATATCAAGGGGTCATTCCACTTTAATGGCCCATGAACTATGCTTATCTTTAACCATTTTTTTCACAGTAAATACGCCATACAGTAAAATAAATCCTTTTGGGATTTATTAGGGCACTCTTAAATTACACCAAAAACATTTTTGTCATAATTTAAACAATTTTTCAATTCAGCGTTTTCCACACCGTTCGAATGGCGTGTCAAAAAAGATGCAAGTCCGCTGCGTTGACAACTTTTATCATTCAGGCTTACCTGAAAGAAAGAATCAAAAAGATTCTTAATCTATATGAGTGTCGCTATGTCCCGAACCTCAATTGAGAATTTTTATTAAAAAATAACAAAATGGTGCCGGTTTGAAAAATTTGTTAAAGATAAGCATAGTTTTTGGGCCATTAAAGTGAAATGACCCCTTAAAGCTTTCGGTCTTCTCTGCCTTTGAGAAATTAGGACCACGTTCACGAATGCAAATACGCCTGCATATTCATGTCGTGTTTCGCAACATGAAAGTAAATAATAAAGGTTTACGTCCCGATCGTAATCTGTTTCGTAATGTGAAACGTGATGACAAGATATCTTTTTGGTTACTAAAAACAGAAATTTTCCTGAGGAGAGAATTATTCCAAATTACATGTACACTTAAAGTTGACATGAACAGAAACAAGATCTGCACTTCACGAAGATTATTTTCTGCTTTTAAGGGCTCAAGAAGATCGCTTTCCACGCTCAAGAACGCTACATCGGTAAGAACAATTTTAATTGTACATTGTGCGTTAATAAACTTAGTGGAATCGTGTTAAAAGTGCAAAGAATCGCGAATAACTCTTACGTGCGTATCGAAGGTGGATGCCTGCGACAATAACGAAACAAAGTTGTGGGATCCGTTTCGCTCGATTCTCAATCAATGGAGGACGGCAAGGAGCGAATTCTGTTGGATAGAAGTTCGTGCACCGCGCGACCATCAAAACAGGATTCGAACAAATCAGCTTCCACCTCTCAATGCCAGGTAAACATGAATAACTTTCTTTTACCTTGGTCTTTATTTTGGTAAAAGAAAGTTCTCCTACATAATCCCAGTAAATTCGCAAATAAATTATAGATTGCAATTGCACAAAAATTAATTCCATGTGTCGCAGAGTGAATTTTGGAGTTCGCTGCAACAGACCGCGTCCAACGATAGCGCGAGAGACGGCGATGAGCTTTCAAAAGAGGAACCTAGCGAACATCTCGAGACTCTGAAATTCGCGTTTCCGAAGAAGGTCAAGGCTCGTGGAAGAAGAAAAGCGAACGCCAGCAAGCGTAGAGTCACGTTCGCTGATCATTAAACTCGTTCGCGCGACGAGCATTGCGTTACATTACATTAAAAACTGCAGCAAATGCAAATATTGTATTACACACATTCGACCGACGTCCGATCGGATTTTTCTACGTAATAAGATTTTTCGATTTCAAAGGCGCGAGTACGGATGATGCGGTTTTATCGTCAGAAAATTCTGTAACTGATATTTGTTAACGATACTCTCGATCATTAAAGAAACGATACGAAATTATAACACGCACACACATCGTCCTTATTTATTACAATAATTATGTTTTACTTGTATTATATATATTCAGTACGTCTAACGGCGTCGTTTAGGAAATACAATTTTAGTGAATCTTTCTATTTGCGATATCTTATTAGGTGTTTTAAAAAAATTCACGTAGACGAGCGATCCTCGATTGTTGAACGTAATATCACTTTTAGTACTGAAACTTCAGACCACTTTTGACATTTATATTCTACAACAAAATTTCCTGATATTCCAAACCTTTAAAATTCTAAGTAGATTAAATCTTAATTAAATATTAGTTCCTTCTGAATAAGAACAAGCATGAATGGATCCAGAATATGGGCGTTGCGAGATCTGTCATATAGTCTGTCTGTTAAACCTTTGCAGGTATTCCACAAAACCAACCTCTCCCCAATTAGCAAAACAAATCAATATTTGGTTATAATATGACAGAATATTAAAATGTTAAGTATTGCAATAATATAGCATCTCCAAAAAGCTTTGATAATTCGATAATTTAATAAAATTATTACTTATATATTTTTTCATAAATTGTGTACTGAAAATAATATAGAAAAATGATACACATATGAAATCTGATGATCAAGCTATAGGCAAGGAATATAAAGATAAGAACTGAAAATATTTTAACTTAGCTAAAAGTATTCAGTAAATGTATTTATAGACTGGATAATATTTTTCTTTATGGTGAATAGCATGAAATGCACGTACGTACGAACGCATTTAAGCGTTGCCTTTCGATTTTCCTCAACTCCTCTCGCAAGCAAACGAGTACTCACGAAAGCAGGAGAACTAATTTATCAATGGTCTCCAATAATCTGGAACCTGTTTTTACAACATGGATGACGTTACCTAAAGTCACAGCAACCTGCAATTCTCGATTGCACACCTACTTTTTGCCCTTCGAAACGAATACGGAGAATACGTGTGTAGAGACATTGCAACCTCTCATTAAGTTCGACGAAGTATTGGATGTAAATCCAGCATTTAAAAACACGTGCTGCAAAACACTCCCAAGTATCCAGGCTGGTGATTTCGGTTTTGTATGTAACAACATTGTGACAAAGTCTGCTAAAGTCTACTACGATGGCGGCACTTCAAAAACAATTTTCACACTTCGAGAAAATCAACGACCCAAAATTGATCGCACAATCGAACAAGAATCAACTGATGCTTTATCGACCAACAGAATTGCAAAAAATGTGGATTCTTTGGCAAAGCCGGAATTGAAGACACCAGAAATTCGGCAGCATCAACCACGAGGTTTGTTTGAAACATTGCAACAACCGAAAACGGTGGTGAAAACGCAAGGATGTACGATGGGTGCAGCAAAGCCATCCGTGTTCTCGAAAATAGGTACAGAAATTTCACCAACTTAACTAATATGCAAATCACTAATATACAACCATTCGTTTGAGAGCACGCGATCCAAGTGTCTTGAAATTCTAGATAATTATTCTTAATGTTTTCAACTTATAATTTAGATAATTGTCGATTTGAAATTATATGTGCGCACAGTAATTTAATAGAAATTAGTATTTTATATTCAGTCTGCAATTAATATTAGTGCACTAAATGATCGATATTTAATGAGATTGTCGATCGCAGATCGCGTTTCTTTCATGAAATTGCAATCGTTTTCCTGCGACGCTTCAAAAAGATCTGCCGATTGTAAGACAGACGATAAGTCGCAACGATTGAAACGCAAAGACGGGACCAAGGACAATGGTGTGTGTACTCAGGAGATTGTGAGGAGTCGCAGTCGAATCGAGAAAAGGCTCTGTGGAAAGACGCAGCGGAAAGACACGTGCGTCTCGTCCCAAGATGACGCGTGTGGGGAACGACAGCAGAGAAAATCTAAGCCATGCAAAAGTTACACGTGTCCCGAACTGAAAAGGAGAATGCCATGCAATTGGGACGCGGAGCGGTGTCCTGAGGATAGTCGGAAACATGATATGAAACGAGTCTCGCCGAGGGATCGTGCGCGACAATCGAGAGATTCTAATTGTTTGCAGGAGCAGGGTATTGATACGCAATACAGTAAAAGTAATGTGAAGCGACATAATCATGTTGATAATAACATATAAAAGTATAAGCTTTATTTAATATTTGTGCAATATCTCAACTGAAATATCTAAAATTGACGAATCTCAAATATTTAGAATTTTACAGACTAATAAACGGAAATTGTTGCTATTATTATTATTATTTAACATTGACTATCATCATTATAATAATTCAGCATTTACTTGTCTTGATGGAATTCTATAGATATATGGAGATTTGTCCATTGTCCATTTTTCCTATTTCACCTACCGCGCGCCCTTTATGCCATTTCTACATTAGCCTTTTGATTGATTCGATACCGAATTGCTCTAATTTACTGCCGTGCTTCTCTTTAACATCTTGACTCTTATGTCAGAATGGTCATCAAAGTCACATGAACAACGCGAAGATTGCAAGAAATCCGATGAACCGCGTACAATTTGCACAGATTCGATAAGAGAAAATAATGATTGTGAATCAAGATGTGAGAAACGACGCGAGAAACGTGACATTAGCGAGAAAGAGCGGCGAAAGTGCACCGGAAAAAGTCGAAAACGAACCAACAGCTGCCGCAAAAGAAATTCTTCCGGAGCAGGTGATAAAAACTGTAGCAAGGTGAACGGAAAACGACATTACTCGCGACAATCAAGTTTCTGTGTTCCGCGAGATCGTAAATATTTCTCCACTTTGATTCCCGACGTCGTTCTCGACGCGAATGTACGCAAGACAACGTTGAGACTTTATGCTAGCTGCAGCAAAGACAAAGATCGTAAACAGGGTCCGTCTTGCGAGAAACGAAAGAGAAAATGCGCGACCAAGGAAAAAGATAAAATCATGAAAAAGTGCGTGAAAGGCCCAGCTAAATGTATATCGAGAAAAAAGGCTATCGATAAGAAGAAAACTTGTCGGTCTACACAAAAAGATAAACGCAAGGAATCATGCGAATCCACGAAAAAGTACAATCGTGAAGAATTTTGTACTAACAGAAAGAAAGAATTTATGAAAGGTAAATAATGATACAAATAATAAATATACATATATAAAAAGGTCACAAAAGGACTCTTCATTTCTTTTGCATCATAGTTTAACGCAGAAATTTGTCCGTTTCATTATCAACTTTACTAAATTTATAATTAGTTTATATTTTCCCATTGTAGACGACAAGTTCAAAGCAGAATCAGTGAAAACACGTGCAACACCTACAACGAAAGGTGTGACTTCTACGAGTTCTTGAGTTATTAACTTTTTTTTTTATGTTATGATTCATGACATAAAAGACGAACATTTTTTGCTATATTAAATTTTTAATTAAATATATTCCTTCCGTTGTATGTTGAAGATGAAAAGCCTAAGGAACAATCAATAAAGCAACAGATAGATCGTGAATACAAGGAGATAGATGAATGCAAGAAGGGCTTCAAGAAAGAAAGTAAGGACAATAAGGCCAAAATGGTTTGTACAGAACACAAACTGACAGACTTGAACCGCACGATCAGTTCAGATAAAAAACAACAAAGGAAGGATAATGAAAAGCTTGGGTGTGTGCTTAACGAATTAGTCATTTCTACCGATACCATCTTCAAGTGGCTCAACGGTCAATCTAGGATTATTAATAGCAAAGTTCCAATTGTGGCCAAGTTAGTACATTGTTCCTTGGATTCTACTTCTGCACGTTCAACTGCATTTTCGAAACTTGAGAATTAAGTAACTTAGAAAGAATAATACTCTTCAAAAGAATTTCGTGTCCCCCAATATTTTTTACTCTATGATTTCTCTATAATATAATTTTATATAATTCTTTGTAATATATTATTCACGGATTATTTATAATTATAGTTTGTTGCTATCGTAGCTATCCAGCAAACATCAAAGTGACAGTTACATAACATCAATATAAATGTAATATAACACATACCTGTTATATTACATTTGCATTGATGTTATGTAATTGTTACTTTGGTGTTTGCTGGGTACACACTTGCGATTAACACTCATGTATTTGGCGTGCAACAATAAGTTATTTCGTGCGATATAATTGCAGAGATGTCAGGCTATTCAACATAACGTTTGATCGATTATTCTCTACCGCAAAACTGGATTATCAGGATGATTTTGCTATCGAGCGAACCATGAGCGATGGTAAAATCCTTCAGAATTATTCTGCGAATAGCGACGATGAATTGCCAAGTTACGTTGAAATAGAGCACCAGGACGAAGAAGATGAAGTTTACGATTGAACCACTTTTCGAGGGGTCGCCAGAGCCGATTGAAAATGTCCCGTGCAAAAGTCGCAGTAAATAATAATTGAATGTGCAAAACAGTACAAAACCGCTTCATTATAATTGTTTTACATTTTGTCGTAATATGACGTAATATATCTTTGACGAATGCGTTGGTGACGCAATAAAACACAGCCCGCAGTATAACTGCATTTACGCTTTGCCTTTTTTTTCCCACAAAGCCCACTTGGAAAATGTTAGCGTTCGTCGCTTTCAAATATAGCGACGCCTAACAAACGCGTGACGTTCTTTATCGCGTGTAAACGTACTTTCCTCGCGCATGAACGTATATTGGCGTTAAATATACGAACGTATCTCGTTTTCGCCCAAGAATATCGCGATCCTTCTAGTCATACGGTAATCAATTACTCCGCGACATCACTTCGCCATGAATGGTAGTCGATCATCCCCTGATATTACTTAACCAGGCTCTGTAGACGATAAGATAAAATTACTCCCCGACAAGACTTGGACGATCGTCGATTACTCCCCGAGGGACTGGATGCGAGTCGCCGTACGAGTGAAACGCGAACGCGGGGCCTTACGGGGGTTTCCCTTCTTCACGAGACGTCTTTGTAGCGCGACGAAGGCGTGAATGGCGGTGGGCCAGGAAGCCCAATTACGAGTTATTCAGCCCTCGCCACGGGGCACCGCGATGCCGCTCTACCGTGCACGGTGTACGCACCTACCTGGCGCCTTTCCCCTTCATCTCGCGCGGGAGCGAGAAAGAGCGCGCGAGCCGGAGACACGAGGCGTTGAGGGACGAGGGAGTTGGAACGTGGGGTAGAGAACGTGAGGACGTCTCTGCGGGATTCCGCCGCCACTTATGGGAATGCGATACGAGCTTTTCGTCGGATGCTCTCTTGCGTTTTCGCATTGTTACGCAACCGTCCTTCTCGCGTCCGCGTCACCCTCGTGCACCCCGACAAAGGGAATCAATGTCAATGCGCGCACTGCCGTGCCGCGTACGCGCTCCGGAGAGAAACGCGGTGAGCGAGAACGCTGAAATAATGGTTGAGAGTACATAATAATAAGCGCGAACGCGGATCGGAATCGTTGCGTTACGGTGTAACAGTTTCACGAAATGTGACAAGTTCGAGGCCGAGCGGCCCAGTAAATTTCCCCGCTGGCAAAATTCCCACCGGCTCTTATTGCTTTTATCGTAACGCTACATTTTTTCGATTACCACATGCTTGTCATTATTCTTCGAATGATTTCACATTATTGACATTATTTCGTCTTAATTATTTATTAAGATATACTTGAAATAAGTGAACTGTGCATACTAATCAGAGTCATCAGGTTTTTTTTCTAGTACAACCATGTATTAGGTTTATGCATAAATTCATATGATCGAGTTTGGATCAAAGACTTTAAGAATTCGGCATACTCTGCGTTTTTTTAGGATATCCGCATAACTTATTCGACACTTACTAAGCGTCTCCTCCCCCCCCCCCCCCCTATACACGTGGGAAAAAATTTTCATTCTTGCAGTTGTTATATTGTTATTTTCACATGAATTCCGATAAAGACCCTCTGCCATTGTGTAAAAACCATCGTATAATAGAAAAAACAATTTTTGTACAACATATAGTGAAGGAATTATGTCAATAAGCACGTGGACAATAGCTACAAGCGCTTTCTGTATGAAGATTTCGATGGGTTGATGACTTTTCGCCTCAAAGCTAGTCGCCGTATAGCATCGATTTGCTGCCTGAACGTTGGTAGAAAATTGTGAAAAGCGGTGAAAAATATTTTGAATAGGAAATGTTGCGACCTTCTTTTGCAAAAATTAGAATTTGTCAAAAGGTTACACGCGTAGACCTAATATTATTAACAAGTATGTTTCTTCAGATTGCCAGTATCAATAATAAAATTTCGAACCTGATAATCTCTTTAGGCTGCCAGTAATAAATAACAGCGGTTAAGTTCAGTCGACCTTAAAAAACTGGCACGTGTTCAATAAATTAAAAATAAAAGATATACAGTGCGACATCTCGGCCAAGGTTTTAGGTCCTTATCTAGCACAAATTGTAAAGAGAACAAACCAATAATCGGAGTTACACGCTTGTCATAGGTGCAAATGAAATTAAAAATAAACAATCCAAACTAAATTAACAGACAAAAATTATACGTACAATAGTAATATGTAAAATGAGACGCGATCACATATAAAATTTCAAATTTCAATCGACCTCAGCTGGCAACATTTAATAAATACGCTTTAACAACGTTTTCGACCTTTCCTTTAGGTCCTTATCAAGTGGGACCTAAGAGTAACTGTTTTACATATAAATTACGTGAGAAGTATACGGGAATTGCGCAGTGTCGCAGAATAATTGTAGCCCTACCTTGTTGCTAATATTATTAATCCAGCTTTCAGTGCCCTAAATGGTAGCGCACTAAAATACTATTAAATTGATTTAAAAACAATCTAAGGTTACGTCTACTCTTCAATCTTCATTTCAATCTCAATTTCACTCATTTTAGCGAAACTGTTTACCTCGTGCTCGATCAGACAGGCGAAGTGAAGTGACGGCAAAGGGCATCGCGACGAATGCGGATCGGGCGCGACTTGTCCCATCAGCAAGATCGAGCGGTCGATTTCGCGGCTCTTTAGGATGAACCGGGAGGGTTTCTTGAACGGTCATATTATGGTGTCAACGACTTCATCGTGGACCACAAACCGCTGGCATCCGTATACCAAGGATGAATGGCGACGCCACGGGTGGCAGGTAGTCGCATACAACTCGAGTAAAATGTATCAATTCTGTCCTCGTGACGCCGGGGTTTCTTTCTCCGAGGATCGATTGTGTGCTCCTCGCAGGAAGGAAGTCCCGGGCGCAACGGACTGCGTCTATTATTGCGCGATATTGTTAAATTATACAAGTCACTCGGCGAAATGCAAATTGCAGATTGCGCGACGACCAGAAATTTGTTCAACGCTGCCTAAATAACGCGCAGTTTTGCCTAAGCAACAGATTCATCTCAAATCTTTTGTCTATCCATTAATAGCGTTAACATTAATAGTATTTGCTTAGATATTCATATATAGAAGCACGTAATTATGAAGATTATGTCCGCACGATATGTGCCCGTTTGAAGTTACAGATTGCATCCGTCGGCGCTGCATTGCCGTCGGTACATTGGGAGGGATGTGAAACTCTACGGTCGCACGGTTTACTTAACTCGGATCTCCTTAAACAATTCCACTTTTACTATTGGCTGTGCATCGCCCACGGTGACCGGACAGAGATTCGAATGAGATTGACACATTTTCGGTACGAACACAGGGCGCAACCGTAACGGGAAATGTCAAAGTCAGGAGACGCGATTTAAAACGAAGATCCTTTAGAGGACAGAAGGGTTCCTAACAGATGGAGAATATCAGTCCCACATATACACACGCGCACACACATACACATCCTCTTGCGGACAGATTGGCAAGCCCAACGGTATCTTCCTCTCATATGCTCGGCTGGGATACGGCACAGGAATTATTTTAGGCATCTATTTTTTCAACGTAATCGGAGGAAACCAACTTTAAGGAAAAAAATACATTATGACGCATTTGTCTGGCTTGCTTGCGCTGAGAAAAGGAACTTACCGAAATGACTAAATACACTTAGTCGGTAGTATTTCTTTAGTTCAAATATATCGTATATATTTCTTTCAGCTAATCATACAGCGATTTATCGAAACGTATATTTTTAGGCATTGACGAATATTTTTGTGAATTGATAAATATTTGCTTGGCAGCCCGTGATCGCCACATGTATAATACAATAGTTGAAATATTTCTTGATTCAACACTTTTTTTTTCCTCAGTGTATGCGACGCTTGCAACGTACTGTATACTTTGCACACGGAGAGAAAAGTCTGTGAAAATTTATTTGTGGCATATTATGTTTATTTCACATTATATGCCGCAAATAAATTTTCGAAGACTTTTTTCTCAGTGCACATAAGCGTAGTTTCAATAGAAACACTGCAAACTTTGAAGCTTTAAATCTGCTTCACAAGATTCGCAAGCTGGAATATGTTTGCCATTAGTTTCAATTTTTCCAAAGCGCCCACGAAAGGAAAGAAAATAGCTTTAAGAATTAACAATGCATTAAGCTAGCGCCACACTATGCGCGATTCATATATTCGTGAATAGTGTAATTTTGAGTGTAGTATTTCTAAATTGTAAACCGGTGGAATCATCAATGGCATCTTCTACGTGGACAGAAGATATTTTTCTTCTGGTCTGAACAGCAGTTTTGCCTTTTCGAAAATAAAAAAGCATAATATGCCGAAAGTGATGCTTATTTTTATCCATCTATGTAAATTCACACGACTCACAAACATCAACCGACGACAACAAATTTGACAGTAAAGTTTCCGTTCAATCGCCACTTTCAAACGTTTAATACGTCATATAAGCGTGAAGTTGATAGCAGATCGAATTCGCATATAAAGTGCGCGAATGTTTAAAAGCGGGACGAAGTTATGCATCGACCCAATAGAATACGGCGGCTTCGCTATCACCGCGTTCTTTCACTGTTAAGTCGGACGGTGTGTCGACAATTTCGCTACAATGGCAAACCGCGCGTGCTGCGACGTGTTATTCTAGCCCGAGCGCGCGGTGCCTTAAGTAACGCAAAAAAACGCGGGCAAACGCTCTGTCCGTGAAACTTTATCCAACTTCTGGTGTAAGTAGCTTCTAGGCGACGTTACCTTTCTTCCGCGGGGGCGTTCGCAACCCTCCCCCTCCCCGCGAGTACTATAAATCGATTTTTCCGCGGCGAAGAACAAGCCGTTGCACCGTCCCCGCGCGTCCCTCCCTCTCACCCTTCTCGCCCACCTTTTCCTACACCGCTAATAAGTCGACGCTAATAACGAGAACTTTAGTACTTCATTTATCTTCCTGCGCGTTGCTCTTCCTCGTAAGTCGCTCGCATGATGGCTAATAATGCTCGCATTGGCTATAGTGATTTAATTTAGCAATTTATTCCAACGTTTCGACCGTCCGGATTGTGGTCCTTTTCAGGGAAATATGAATTAGTTAAAAATTAAATTGTAAAAAAGATGTCAACCATTTTTGGATATCGGTCGGAGAAAACTGTGTTTGAAGGCACGTCCATCCGACGCAACAGCCACAGTAGGACACAGGTAGTTCTACTGTGGCTGTTGCGTCGGACGCAGTTTTCTCCGACCGATATCAAAAAATGGATGACGTGTCTTTTACAAATTAATTTTTAACTAATATATTTCCTTGAAGAGGACCACAATCCGGATGATCGAAACATTGGAATAACGTCCATCCGACACAACAGCCACAATACACTGTAAAAACAAATGTGTTAAAACAACATGCTTTAAAGCATGTTAAGCATGTCTCCACTTATAACACGCAAAACTGGCATGTTAAATTAACACATCTATACTTTTATGTGTTAAAAAAACACATTTATATACATGGAAGTGTGTTTTTTTAACACACACGAGTATAGATGTGTTAATTTAACATGCCAGTTTTGCGTGTTATAAGTGGAGACATGCTTAACATGTTGTTTTAACACATTTGTTTTTGCAGGACATGGCTGTAGCTTGTGTCGGACGGATGTGCCTTCAAACACAGTTTTCTCCGACCAATATCCAAAGACGGACGAGAGCTCTTTTACAAATTAATTTTTAACTAATCCATATATTTCCTTGAGAAAGACCACAATCCGGATGGTCGAAATGGGCTAAATTTCCTCAGAGGATTTCCGGAACGTGTATGGATACCTTTAGCCTAAGTGATTTATGTCATCCATGACTGCATTCCACGTTTCGAATTATTCCTGATTCATAGCCACTTGCGTCTCCGGTTAATCCGGACATTCTGAGGCTCTATCTGCTAATGGTGTGTTTTTACGAGATAGGATATTAGACTATCGTCAACCCCCGACCTGGAGGGCCGGCTCCCTCTCTTTTTATCTCCATGCCTTCCGCTGAGGTTAAGGCCTTCACGCATAAAATTCCGTAAGGACGTAAAACGTAAGCGTAAGAAAATCAACAGATCGAATTTGCTACTGCTTGCGTTACTGCCTTACGTTCTCGACTGCGATTGGCCGATTTTCTTATGCTTACGTTTTACGTCCTTACGGAATTTTATGTGTGAAGGCCTTTACTACCAGTCTCCAAAATGGATTAGTAGCGCAACCACGTAGAGATGGAGGGAAGATAGATATGGGAGGTGAGAGGTGTCCTTTCCGTAGATCCACCATCACGTTTTACACATCGCTATCCCGGCGGCATCAGAAATTCTGTGTGGTTCAACCAAAATGCATTCTATCGTAAACGCCTTGTTGATGCAGTCGAAACATTTTTCTCAATTCGCGCTAACGGTCACTCGTAGTTTGTTCGATTCTAGCGTTTCTGGTAGCATGATAACGTTGCGGCGCTAATCTCACGAGCGACCGCTTTATCGTGCCCCGACGGTGTTAATCTCACGAGCGGTATGTCGCGTAAATTCGCCTGACCGACGAGTCTGAATTTTGAACGCGACTTGGATCCCCGCAGTGCCGCGGCGGATTTCGCAGATCTGCTCTCGCAACCGAGTCGCCGGGCGACGAAATGCTGTCACTCTGCGTCGCACACTTCAATCTCAGCTATGATAAATCTGCGAGGCCGGTTCTACGTTAATCGTATCGCACTCTCTAAAAATCAGTCCGTAGATTACCACCGAAAACAGTGAATAGTCACTAATTTACAGTTACAAGTACACCGCAGAAAATCGCCGCGACTATTCGCTGTTTTCAGTGATAATCCGCTGATTGGCTTCCAGAGAGTGTCGCGAGGGTCGTGGATTGGTTCTAATTCAACGCAGATCGGTCGAATCTACGATTCGATACGATCAATGTAGAACCGGCCTAATAATAATCTCTAAGCGACGCGAAGAACCGCCCCGTAGGTAGCGATAACGGCGATAACGTCTTCTCGTCCCTCCCCCCCCCCCCCCCTCGCCGCACATTTTTAACGTCCTTTTTACGATCCGTGTCCGAGAGGGAGCTGACAAAGAAGCAAATAATTGACGAAGGACCGCTCTATAAACGTACGCACGTGATTTCGAGATTTATATGCCGGATAACGTTCGCCGTGCATCGACGTAAAAATCGCGTCGCCCCGCCGTTGCGTGCGTCATTAAGAGAACAGACATCCAGAAAAGCCCGGAATTTAACGAGCTCCTCGGAAGGATCCGCGGTCTGGATGCAATTCGCTCGCGTGTCTCGTCTCTTCTCTCTCTCTGTTTCCCACTCCCTCTCCTTCTCTCTCTCTCTCTCTCTTTCCTGTCTTCCTCCCTCCCTCCATCTCTCTCTCTCTTTCTCTCCTCGCTCGTGCCGGACGCTCGTAACGAGGCTCATTTGGTGGCGTGTACGCGGCCAATGGCGCGGCGGTATGGTGGCCGCGGCCATGCCCAGCGGCCAATAGCGCCGCGCGTCACGCAGCTGTCAGCCTGGCCACGCCTCTCGCCAGTCCGGAGCACGTCGCGCATGACGCACTCGGCTCGCCTCGGAGCATGCCGCGACGCCAGTCCCTTCTGGTGCGCGCGTGAGGAGAGTGCATCTCTCTCGCGCGGCAGCGAGAGAGACAGAACGGCCCATTGATCCGCCGCCTCGCGAGGCCCCGCGCGTCCAGCACCGCGATCTAGATCACGATCGCCGACAGCCGGAGTGTCGTCAGCTCTGGGAGACGGATCCGGCGGCGCGCCGAGTGCGAGACGCGTACGTGCGAGCTCTCGCCGGAGAGTGCCCGCGGTGCCCTGGCGCTCCCGAGCGCAGTGTCGGCGTCGCCTCCACGGCGATGAGCATCGCTCGGGCACGACGGCCGCGTTAACCGAGCGAATTGATCGGGGAAGATCGTCCGCGGCGGAATTTTCCGGACACACCCGTCTTTCTGCGCGAGGACGCGAAGGGCCGCGCTCGCCCCGAAAGTTCCCTCGGGGAATCGGACTCCCAAGCCCGCGCCGGAGATCATTCAGTGCTCGCGTCAGTGCCCCGATTGTCAGCTACGTCGGACGCACAGTGTTTGGGATACGGATGTGAATGAAATGCGACAGCGCGGATGAGGATTATCTCTATCGTCCTATTGTTTCGTTGAGAAGCGCGAGGAGAGGGCGTCGCGTTTCTCGCGCGTACGGACAGGCGACGTTGAATTGTCGAGTGGCGTTCGGGGACGAAGGTGGGAATTCGAAGGTGGAAGCGGTTTGGTGACATTTTCGAGAGGAGAAAAAGAGAGAGAGGGAGAGAAAGAGCGCGTCGCGACGAGAGGAGGCGTCGATGGGGTTCAAGGAGAGCGAGGGAGACGCTCGTTAAGGCGCCTCTAATAATAGCGGCGCGCTCGCGAGTGTACCAAGCGGTCTATAAATACGACCGCTGGCCCCGTGGAAATACGAGCCCGTGGATTTCACGGTGCAACCTGTGTGCCGGCGGTGAGAGCGAGACGGGAGGAAGCAGCCTAGCCCAGCGGAGGAGTGTCGGGAAGAAACGGCGCGGCTCGCGGACGGACGTACGGACGACGGACCTCCGTCGCGGATCAATCTGCCGGTGGTGCCGCTCGCTCGACGGGTGTGATTCAACGGGCGCGCGAGTGCCGCGGGTACACTTCCAGGAATGGTCGCGAGCCAAAGCGGCAGGCCGGACCCGCCGCTCGGGACGCTGTGACTCGCCGCTCCGCGATCTCCGCGTCGAGCGACCTAGCGCGGGCCCCGATCGAGGCGAACGTTGTTCGAAACGCGCGCCGGAGAGACGGGCGGAAACGCGTGCAATCGGAAAAGGAAGCGACCTCGAGCCGCGAGCCGGCTGACCGTCGTCGACCCGGAGTTGCTCGCGAGACCGGGGGTGATCTCGTTATTTCGTGGGATTTTCTTCGCCCCCGACACTCGGCGCGATCCAAAATCGTCAGATCGCGCCGATCGTGCGAGTTGCCGCGCGATCCGGCGAGATCGTTCTGTTCGGAAGAGCGCTCGAGCACCAACGTCGCGGGCCGATGAGTGCCGACGCCTCGGAGGAATGTATTATACAATCGTCCCGGCCGCGACGGTTCGTCAAACGGAACGTAAAGGAGCCCCACAGTGCTATCTTGTTCCGAGCCTCGCGTAGTGCAACATCTACGGATTTACACGTCCGATTGTTTAAACTAGTTGAATATGGCTCGATCGACGATCACGGCGAGTAGCGTTGCACGTACGAGTGTTTAGGGAGCGTCGAGTGTACACAGGGGAGAAAGGACGCATTCGACACTTGCATCGGCGACTTTAATTATTTATCGTACCCAGCCGCCTTTTCCAATTGGTTCAGTCCGAGTTGGCAGCTCGCCGCTTGTCCCTTTAAGTAGCAGTAGAACATTTCTTTTTTCTTCATTTAAAAAGAAACCAAGATTTAGTCAATTCAAGCTCGCGATCGCACGCCGAGCCAGGACGACGTTTCTCGTCGAGGATCTTGGATCCCGTCGGTCGGCTCGTCGCGCGATGCCTCCGTTCGGACGTCCCAAGGACCCGCAGTGATCCCCGCGAAGGACTCGCCCCGCGGAGGATGAGCGGCGAGTGAGGGGGGGGAGGGCTTCCTTGCGCGTAGCTTCGGAGCGGGGAATCCGCGAGCGGCGACGCGGTCCGTCACGGTCGCGGTCGCGCACGCGAAGCGGGGAGGACGATCGCGTCACAACGGTGGAGGGCGGCGGTGCCGTGCGGGGGGTCGTCGTGGACCCCGGAGATGACGCAGCCATGATGGCTTACGGGGGCACCGCTGGCAACGGGGGCGCGATGGGCCCGTCATCCGGTGGCGGTGGCGGCGGCGGCGGTGGCGGCGGCGGCGGCGGCGGCGGCGGCGGCGGCGGCAGCGGAGCGGACGTCCTGGGTACCGCCGCCGGCGACTACAGCCCTCAGAGCACGCCCACGCCCTTGACCGGGCACTCGTCGACGGGCGGCACGGTGGAGAACGCTTACACGCCCGGCGCGACCGGGGCGGCCAGCTACAGCCCGCAGGACAGCCCGGCGAGCTCCGCCGGAGGCAGCGGTAACGGCCAGCTGCCGAGTTTCGGCTTCACGCAGGAGCAAGTCGCGTGTGTTTGCGAGGTAAGTCGTGTGACCGCTTGTTTCGTGGCGCTCCTCCGACAAGAGACACGAAAATGTACCGAGTAGACCGGAGCAAGTCTGAAAAAGCGGGTTAGACGATTGCCACGATAGAGGTAATTAAGTAACTTCAAAGAAAGGAGAGCTGGAAAAGCGGAGAGAGAGAGAGAGAGGGCGGAAGCTAAACTACCGACTCCTTCGACATTGAGCTTTGAGTTCTGAGATTTGTAAGCGCGCGCTTATCCCTCGCGCTTGTAATTGCGCTCAAGGGACCGCGGGGATCTTTTCCTCTAACGTGAACTCGTGAAAGGTGAAAAATTCCAGCGGCGAATATTGAATTTCGACTGGTCTCTTTCGCAAGGTCGTATCTCGATTTCTGGTTTTCGTGCTTGAACGCTCATTTTGATCCAGAAAAGAGCGTTCAAGCACAAAAACCAGAAATTACGTTAAACTTGAGACGCGACCTTGCGAAAGAGATCAGTCGATGTTAATGAAATTTTTCACTTTTCACGCTATAGAGAAAAAGATTCACGGTCGAGTCCCCGATGGCCGGCGGTTTTGACTCTCAAATTATCAATGATGCAACCATGAATATTCTCGAGTGTATAAATATATGCAAATACAGCATATAAATCGTAATTCAATTATTTGTTCCTGTGTGACAATGAGATTACGTTAGGATCCAAATTGATTTATGGCGAGGGAGTCGGTCCTCAAAAATACGCTCAGTGGAACATCTGACAAATCAGGCTGATCTCTAAACCTCATTCGAGCGTCATTCGTCTTGTCTGGCATACGATCTAAATTTGACGTTGTTTCGTGACTCTTGTTAGAGGATCCTTAGCCGCGTAATGCGCGCCTGGCTGCATTCAGCTGTTGAATGCTGTGCGTCGCGTTTATAGAAAGCGCGCAGTCTATTCGCACTCCAATTAAAATCCAGATTTAAACGTTCTTAAACGCCAGTGTTACGTCCGGTCGCCGTATTAATTATACGCGGGGAGAATTTTCTCTTAAAATTTGTCCCGAAAATCGTACAATCGCGAGACAACGCGGCATTTCGAAGAATTTTATGAGTTGTTTACAATTATACCATATATTAAAAAAATTTTCAGAAAGCTCTCATAAAGCTCTTCAAACGTGCCACACGTTGTCCCACGATCACACGATTTTCAGGGTAAATTTTAAGAGACAATTCCCCGTGTGCACTCTCTAAAAGTCAATCGGTGAAGCTTATCACTGAAAGCAGCGAATGTTCGCTGATTCGGTTACGATGCACCGATTGACCTTAACGTCCGGTTTGTCATTTTCTGGTCAAATGTTAACCAGAGATTAGTCGATTGCCTGTCTCTTCTTGGATAACAATATAGAAAAAGATGGAGAGTCGACTAACCCCTGGTTACCAGTTAACCAGAAAATGACAAACCGGGCCTCAGAGAGTGCAGTACAATTGATGTCTTCACGCGGCTCGACGGTAATTGTTTCGCGCCGAACCCTTTCCGTTCGGTGCTACCGTCTCTTTCTCAAGAGAGAAAGAGAAAACAACATTGCTCTAACGTCAGCGCGAACAAAAATATGCGAGGACTGCCAGAAATCTGCGCGCAATATTCGCGATGCACAGCTGACAACGTGCTGCGCCGATGGCGAGCTTGGCTAGCGTTGCTGCACCTTCCTCGGCTGAAAATACCGGTCGATTCGCGGCTTTTGGTTTCATTGAAACGTGACGGCCATTAAATTCCACCGTTAATCGCGATAAATGTCGTCTCATTTTGGGTTGCAAGTTTCTTTTTTAAATACTGCAAATTGGAATGAATCGACTTCTCCTCGGCGTGGTAGCGTTGTATACAAGTCCAGCCGTCGTGACGATCGCCGCACCGAAGTGTGGAAACGGCGAGGATCCACACGTCCCGATGACGAAATTGCCGCCGCGATCGCGCGGCCGTTACATCGCCGACAATGTGCAGCGTTACGCGCCAAGATTCGCTTGCATGTCACACGCTTAATGGAATCTGCACGATTTTACTGTAACCGTAAATTGTTTTGCGCGCGACGTTTACGTCTCTCATATCGAACGTCCCACATGTTAACTCGTCCTGTTGGAAAGAGAGAGTGAGAGAGAGAGAGAGAGAGAGAGGGGGGGGCGATCTCTTTCGCGTTTGGCAAACTTTTCACCGATTCTTTACTGCGCCCTCGTCGAGGTGCATCAGGACGCGGCGTTGAACGATATATTTGACATTAAGTATCGTTTTTGTGAATAAAATTGAACATTTTAATGCACACAAAACACTTAAACGAATCTGACTAGCTATTGAATCTTTAGATTGCCAAATCAAGAAACATAACGCAGTTTGGATTGTACGATGACAGAAAGTAGATAAAATTATTGTGGAAATGTGACACGTTCCAACGAAAGAATTATCATGCCATACTTTTTGGTCTAAGCAACATGAATGCACACAGCCGTAGACGAAATTATTAGGCACCCACACCTGACCATTATACTGCGAATCTAATGGCGAATTCGATTGCTTGCGCTAGTGCGCACTGAGTGCACACTAAGGCCTGCTTATAGTCAATTTTATGCTCAACTTCGTCTTAAATACACGTTCAAAAAGTATTTAGCCAAAAAATGATCCGCATGGATGCTATGCAGTTCATTTTACTGACTACGAAATATTTCAAGAGATATTTCGGACGACCCTTAAATATAAGAATTGACTGTGAACAAGCCTTAGTGTGCACTCAGTGCGCACTAGTGCAAGCAACCGAATTCGCTGCAAGTGTGCTACTTTTATACACATATATGTGTAATTTGGCGTAGTACTTTTTGCACACTTTTCTTCGGTCTCGAATCGCGACGCGTGACTTGACGAACGTCATGTTTAAAATAGTCCTTTTAAATGGCAAGAAATGTGTAAAATAACGTATGTCAAGTCATGTGTTGTGATTTTGAACGAAAAGAAGCGTATAAGAAGTGCCTAACCAAATTACACGTGTGTATGTGTGCATAAAAGTAACACACTAAGACCCGGTTTCACCAAACGTCGCTTAACTACAACCTTAGTTTAATTCATATTTGTCTCTTGCTAAAGTAACAGTTGGAAAGAGAGACAAAGGACGAATTAAACTCAGCTTAAAGTTAAGCGACGTTGGTGAAACCGGGTCTTAGGTCCGGTTGTCCCAACCTCTCGGTAAATTAACTAATAGTTAAATTATATACGTGCTTTTGGTTTTTCCTTCAAATTAGCCAGAGCTAGACGTATAGTTTAAATATTAGCTTATCGAGAGGTTGAAACAACCGGCCCTTAGATTTCCAACGTACTGTACTGAATCTAATACCAGAAAGATTTTATTGTTTGAAAGTTGTTTACTGCAATGAACGCTTTGCTAAACAATTTTTTTTAATATAAATTTTCCAGGTATAAGATTGAGTGCAGTATAATAATTAGAAGGGTGCCTAATAATTTTGTCAATGGCTGTGTATCTTAATCTTTCGCACATCCTTTGGGCGCCTTAAAATTTTTCCGTTGTTGCGTCGTCTATTTAATTTTCAGCTTCGTTTCCACTTATACCCGCGTAGGCGTACTCGCCACGTGAACATTAAGAGTTAATTTCTATTCCTCGTGCGCCACGGAAGATGACAATATTCACGAACGCACGGCGATCGTAGCCCACGTGAGATAACGAGCGTGCGAAAAGATGGGTTTGCCAAACGCGGAAGTGATCGGCCGCAGATTGCATCGCTGCACGGCGCGTTCTTGCACGTGCATATCCCTGTACCAGCGCTATAATTATGCGGCTAGACTAAAAACTCCTTGCCCACGTCGCACAGACACATATGGCGCTCAAATTCTACGATTAGACTTTGAGAAACGCGAGGGCTCTTTTGGTTATGCGTGAATTCTGACCCGATATCGGGGTAGCTGTCGCGTATCGATTCGTTCAGAAATATCGCGGTTGTTGCCATACGCTGTGACTCTGTGACACGTGGGCGCTAGTTGTCTTGTATCATTCGAGGTGCCCATGATAGCTCCCTTTTCAATGCATAAATAAAATCGACGTTTCACCGGGTGTCGGCCGATCCATTTCTCGCCGAATAGCAGCGGAATCGATCTTGCGCTCTTACGAGGAAAAGAAAAGTGACGAGGCTGAACGATCTCCCACCCCGAAATCTACACAGAGAGAATTTTCTCTTAAAATTAAGAGAAAATTCTAAGAGAAAATCTCCGTGTAGTTACATTTATTCTATTCATCGACTTTTAAATCCCAGTATAGCAGCCTAGTCGGATGTATTGAATTATCATGTCTTCAGATACGATCTTTTTAATCCCAACAATTTTTAATGTCTACGTACATCGAGTATCGTCGAATAAAATTTATTAATTACACAGTGTAATTATTTGTTAATGCACATCATGCGTACAAACATCCAAGATTCAGCGAGACTAATTTAAATATACACATTCATCTATTAAATGAATAGAATGGAACATTCCTTCATTTCGTCTCGTTTAATTTTTACATAAAAAAAATTACCATCGCCTTGCGTGTCTACGTTGTCCAGTTTTAAAAGGAAGGGGAATGATAAAATCGCGTAACGGCACTCCTTCTAATCAGTATCTGTATCGTTGACAGTTAATCCGATCTTAAGATCTGTGTCGTACATTTCTCCTCGTTTGGGTGACATGACATTCATTCCTCATTATGCCACGCGGCGAGATTAATCGGCCGTACCGCGGAAAATTCGGCGACATCCAGCGACGACAGCGAGCAGACAAATATGACAGGTGCACAGAGCTAATATTGCTAATTAAGCGATCGTCAGACACCCGTCCGCGTACGATCGGCAACGTCTTAATTTCCATCTCGGTATTTTCGCAGCAATTCATTTCGTGCGCTAGAAGGAAATCTCGAGACTGTCCGCGATATCAACTTACTTCAGGCGTGAAAGATTTATGAAATCAATTTAATATACGAAACTAAACTTGATATTAATGTATAATTGCCGAGAAATGTAGGAAGAAAGATATAAATGGACACGCGGAATTTTTTCTCCAGATTTATCTGAAATTCATGTAATCGTGGGACAACATATGGCGTTTTGAAGAATTTTATGGGGATTTTTTTCGAAATCTTATCATACATTTTACTAGTAGGATGTGCAAAATTTCAAGAGACTTGATTGAAGAATGTTTTATGAGAGTTTTTAATGTACAATATTATTTACATTTTACTCGTAAAATGTATGGTAAAATTTGAAAAAACTCTCGGAAAGTTCTTCGAAATGCCACGCTGTCCCACAGTCACATGATTTTCAGGGTAAATTTTAAGATAAAATTCTCCCCGTGTACAACATGAAATTTTTACACTTGTGTCTGTATCGCCGAAAGAGGCAATTAGAATCAAACGAGTACTTATTTACAAGCGCATAAATGTTGCATTGCAATAAAGTTTACACGTGCCAGTGACGTATCGATTTTACGATAATATCGCGCTTTTAGCAAATCAGTTGTGTGTAAATTAAAGATACGTAATACGGCGATATCTAGACCGGCAATATATGGCGTGTTATATCGAATAAACGTCAGTGACGCAGAGCAGACATACGCGGATACCGGCAAATAGATAGCTCATTTCTCAGACGGAATCCTCGGTGGTTAATTATGTCAACGGTGGAACGCGCAAGGGATAACATGATTCGTACCGATAAAGCGAACTGAAGTATACGACGAAATAAAATTGATGTATAGTTCCACTTAGGATCGTGTTACGCGATCGTTTAAGTTCATTAATAGCCGTTTCGAGAAATTATACTCATGTTAAACGTCAAAGATATGCCGAGTGTACTTTTACACGCAATTAGATTTTTTCTCTCTATCAAATGGCATTTTCTTTATTAAAATCATGGTTGTACGATTTTCCGTGCTCTATAATTTGATTATCAAAGTTTCCCCGCGATTCCGTAGCCTCGCGTTATTGTGGGATACATATTTATACTTCTAAAAATTCAAACTGCTAAATATACAGAATTTTCCTTTACATCTTGACATAAGGAACCACCGACTGTTTGATAATGTTTCGTGTGGCTATTCTGAATAATAATTTCGAAGCGCGGAATTACGCATCAAACAATTTTAATCGCTCTGAGACACAAGACTCATTTCTGCTTGCTCGCAAAAACTTAATTAATTAAAATTAATTAAAATTCGACTGCTAATATATCGGTATAGAAGGTAGACATCCCGATTCATTTCCCTTCGAACTCCTGAAACCTTATCCCGCTATAACATTGGAATCTCACACAGTTACGAAATTAAATAGAATTGATCATTAAAAATCCCGCTAAAATTAACTTTTTTGAGGAAGATTTAAAAATCGTTCTAAGAAAGTGCTCACAAGTCAAGGCCAATTTTTCAACTTCTTTATTGATGCGATGACTTCAAAGAGACACTGGTTTTGTTGGAAAAAAAAACGAGTATCGGGCGTGTAATCAAATCTATCCCACATCTTCACACTAGCGAGTTTTTTGTCAAAATGCCATGGCACAATACACAAAGCTACTCAAGATAATTTGAATAGTCGTTAAAATATATTTCCTTAGGAAAAAGATTAAAAAGTTCCAAAAGCAAACCAGTCCTATCTGAGCCTGCATCAGTTTCTTCTTTTTAAAAAGAAGTTCTAATGAAATTAATTATAACGAAGACACTCTTACATCCGTTAAAACTGGTTTTTGTCAAAGTTTTCCTCAATTTACAAATTGTATTCGGATTAATTCGAGCCATCGTGTTAGTTTATCAACATTTTCTAGCGTCTTTGTGTAATTTTACATCATTTTATTATAGTATTCCGATTTATGCCTCAGCTTTTATCAGTTTTTTTTATTTATGTAATCGCAGTAGATAATTAAATTGAATATAACAATGACTTGTTTATATCACTTTCTTAAAACCTATGGGAAATAAAATCTCGATGAACTTCTTCGACTTGAAAATCATAGGCGTAAGAGAATTGATCTGAAGTAAATTTTCCCGTTTTAAGATACACTTTTCCTGTAGTTACAAAAACAGATTATTTCACTCGTCAGCTGCTGTAATCTCTTCCATTCTCGTCCTAGTTCTCACAGTTCCCCTTTACACGAAACTGTCCCGATTGACCTGTTAGTCACTGGTAGTTGCCCGACTCATCTTCCTTGAACGAAACGATCGACTGAAAGAGGTGAATAATCAGACATATACAAGATACACTAGAATAAGAGGAGACCCGGGATGAGTTTTGCCGACTAACAGTGTGCCCCCCCTGTCTATCGTCTTCAAGGCGATGGTGTCGAATGTCCAGGTTCTTCAGCAGGCGGGCTCCGTGGAGAGGCTCAGCCGATTCCTATGGTCTCTGCCGGCGTGCACCAGGTTGCACCGTCACGAGAGCGTACTCAAGGCCAAGGCGATCGTCGCCTTCCATCGGGGCCAATTCAAGGAGCTCTACAGGATCCTGGAGAGCCACACCTTCAGCCCGAACAATCATCCGAAGCTGCAGGCTCTCTGGCTCAAGGCCCACTACATCGAAGCCGAGAGGCTGCGGGGAAGGCCCCTCGGCGCTGTTGGTTAGTAAGGCTTTTTTTTTTAGCCACTTTGTTCTGCGTTGCGTGTACAGGTAGTGAGATCGGTAAAAATCGTTCCGAGTAAATTCGACGATGTAACAGTTTTCCTAGTGACGCGATTGTTAAGTGCTAATTTCTAATTTCGAGCGTTTTATTCAGTACGCATCCCTCGTTTTTATCAACGATTATTTGGGCTTGGCGAAATATCTTTGTAGATCTTAAAAAGTATAACTTTAGTCTCCCATCTTCGTTGAAAAACTAGTCGGTGTTGATCGATGAAAAGAGACGCAGAGAAATATATTGTATAATGTTTAATAAGATTCACATAGACTAAAGAATCGTTAAAAATGATTAATATTTTCCATTAAAGATTAGAAAATCCAAGCAGACACAAAGATGTATAAACCGTATTTCTCACTGAATTAATATGTTGCTACAAAACAATATAACTGCCAAAATGTTCTCGCCGTTTCCCGTAATTTTTAATAATTCGCTGTATATAATTTCTGAGTGATACTTTCCGACCTCTCGACGTAAAATATCAAGTAAATATCGGCAAGTGGTATTTAAATCTCGCGTTTCAATACGCGCCGCATTTATTTTCGCACTCAGGACACACTCCGCGCGCGGAATGCACGTCGCATGATCTCGTCGACATTAACAGCCAAACGGACGAACAAAGTTATTATCGTACGAGCCTAATGGGCTGTATAGACTTGGCCCTATTTTACCCGCTCGATCCTATTCGCAAACGTCGCGCGCGAAGTCGACGACGACGACGACGTCGTCGTCGTTGCACTCGGCCCAGAAACCAAATCCGTCCCCAAAAGAGAGAAGCTAGAAACAAAGCGTGCCTCTGTGAGGACGCTGAGAGGACCGGAGCGCATAACACACTCCCGCCGCTTCCTCTTCCGTTTTTCGCGGCGTCGCGAGTCCGCGTACGCGATGACAATTTTCCCTCGTGGGGCACCAAAGAATGTTTGTCTTGGAGACCTCAACACGTGCGTATTTAAAGATACAGGTAGACTCGCGCGACGGTATTCCGCGGGTGCCAGCGGCGCTTTTGACATTGCATTTCGATTTAACGCTTGTCCGAGGGAGAAAGCAGTGTCCTCACGGAAGGATTCATCTTTGGCCTTGCAGGCAAGTACCGAGTGCGTCGTAAGTTTCCCTTACCGCGCACGATCTGGGACGGCGAGGAGACGTCTTACTGCTTCAAGGAGAAGTCCAGGAGCGTCCTGAGAGATTGGTACGCCACCAATCCGTATCCGTCGCCGCGCGAAAAGCGAGAATTGGCGGAGAGCACCGGCCTTACCACCACGCAAGTCAGCAATTGGTTCAAAAACAGGAGACAGAGAGACCGTGCGGCCGAGCATAGGTGAGTTTTCAAACACCGAAGACACTTCATTTAATTGCGCCTATTGAACTGTCATTGGGATATCATACGCGCACGCCCCGGTAGAACCGAAAGAAATGATAGAAAGAAACGCGTTTCATTAAAAGAAAGCTTCTTCGTGGCAGACTCAAGTACGCAACGATATTAAATGCATAAAAATCTATAGCTATCTCAAAGCGATAACAGAGAAAAGTAAGAATTTAAATGCGCTAAGAAACGAGCGCTCTATGGCGAGAGAAATGTCGCGGCCAATTGGGTCAACGGCAAAAAGATGGAGCTTCTCTCTCCCTGTCGAAATTAAAAGCACACAAAACTGTTGCCGTTCAGGTATTTTATTAAACAGATTAAACAGAAATACGTTGAGTACATCCCACATGTAGCAGGCGATATTAACAGGAACGACGCAAGGTATAGCGACGCGAAGTTAACGCGTTTGATAAACTACAATGATTGCGGCGGATGGAAGGGTGGAACAAATTTTCTTTTCTCAACGACTTTGTCAAGCGAATAACAATGTCCGGCAATATTTTTACGCGTTCGATTGCACGCAGATGTACAGTCTTATTCGTTGACGCCTGGACCTGCACTTTTATCATTTTTCTCATCTATACAAATCACTGAGTTCCAGGCTGTACGTACGTAGCGGAAAAGTCCTCTATTATGAGATAGTAGGTTTTCAACGTCCAAATTCAATCACAAATCTTCTTTCGCAACGGTTACACGATCTAACAACGAATTGCCCACTAATCAGATTTCACCCCAAGGGCATTAAATTCACGGTGGAACCGACAGATGACGCCTATTAATTTAGTAGAAACTCGGCTATCTCGTATTAGGAGCCTGTCATGATAGGAGACTTTCGTCTACTACCACAGACCTCTACAGAAGCTGTGTGAACTGCAGCCTGAAACTCATCGATGTATAGATGGGAATAAAGAGTATGAAAGTGTGAATCCCAGTAAAACCGTGGTCCAGACATTAATGAATAAGACTTGCACAATTAACGGACGCGCTGGCGTGGAATTTTCGTCTCTCGCGGACAGAAGCGCGCGGCGCGGCGCGGCGCGGCCCGTAGGAGTCCCGTGTTGTTTGGAAGGTCGTTGCTCTACATCCGATTTTAGAAACGAGCGGAGGCCCCATAACTATGTACGTAACGCGATGCCTTCCGCCGCGTAGCGAGAGCATCGTGTCGCATGCGTGCATGCGTCCTTTCCACCGTCGAGCGAGCGCGAGCGAGCGAATAATAAATAAATAAGTACCAGCTGGGCCATCTGGGCCGCTGACAGAGCCAATCTCCCGCGAATTCTTCCGCGAAATTCAGCACTTCGCGACGCTAGTCACTGCTAGTCCAAAAGTACGCCGTGCTTATCAATTGACTCGTTAACCGAATATAAATCCATTGCAAAAGGAAACCTCGAATGTTGTATGTTGGACTGCATAATCTCATTAAATAAATTTTGGTCGACTTTAAGAATGACTCGCAAATGATAAAAGTCATCCTCCAGCCTTTGTAGCCCACATACTTTTAACGTTCGCCGGAAAATTTTTTAATTATGAGTTTTTCGAATATACTAGTCACGATAGATGGCATTCGGGAATGAACATTAGACTGTTTATTGCGATGAATATATTGCCACATGCCTCGGTGGTCGAAATGGTCGAGACGCCCGCTTAGCGAGAAGGGAGGCCCAGGTTCAAACCCTGGCTGAGGTGATATTTTTTCGCAATAAATTTAGAATAAAATATTTAAACACTAACACCCTGTCACGGCTCTTACAATTAGTCCTTTATTCCTTCAAATTTGTGTTTATCACATACGAGCCATACGAATTTTATTAATTTATAATTATGACTTACTTCCTTCGGACTTTTATTAGTTGACTTCATATTACATTTGCTTGATTATTTGTTAAGGTAAAGACTGGTCCATGATTTACTTTCAATCTCTCAGTTTATATTATTCACTGTGACAAACGATATCTTTTATTGTATCTATTAATTTTTATCTCGCTTCTTTCACTTTTAGCGTAATGATTTATCAATGTATTCTTTATATCGCACGAGGTTTCTAACCTAGATGTTGATTGTACATTTTAGAAATTGCTTGAAAATGACCAAAACCCATGGTCGAAACGTTGCTGTGTATTTTTTGAATTTATTAAACACGTGCCAGTTGAAGTTGACCAAAATTTATTTATTGTTATTTATTACTGGCAACCTAAAGAGATTTCGAGGTAAAATAAAATTGTAAACTAAGCAGATTAATATAACGAATCAAGTTGAAGTATAATATTAGTAAGACAATTACTAGTTGCCAAGAATTTGGTTCAGCCCGAGATCGATGTAAAGTCCATTAAATTCGGACAGGCAAATGTTCGCGAAATCATACGCGGACGGGAACAATTAAACGGATATTTCTGCAATATTAGGGTGATTCGGGAGCGTAGGTACTTTGAGGGATTTCCTGTAATTAATGTATCCAGCGAATATGATGCCACACGCATCCGCAAAGCTATCGGATAGGTCTGCGAGATTCACCGTCGTGTGCCTAGGGTGATCGTAAATTCTTGGATACGAGCTTCGCTCTGGAATTAACAATTCACGTATCGGTCTCGAACGGTCTACTCGATCTGCGCGAACTTCTCGCGAGGTGCACATACACACACGGTTCGCCTGCAGATTATACGTATTTCCGCGAGCCACTTGTTTCCAATGGGAATGATTTAATAAAACACGCCTTGTGTGAACATGGAGAGTTTGAAACTGTTGGAATCTTAATTGAAGTTTCGATAAGTGCGAAGGTGAATTTTACATTTTCTCGTAACGTTAAAGATTAAAATTGTGCTCCGCGAACGCGGTTGTGTACGCCGATGTAGCTCGTCGTTCTGCCTCGAACGCTTTGGAACCAGTGCGTTAATTCGCGTACACCTCGTAGACGCGCACGCAACTCTGATCTCCTGCCTCTGTTCATGGGAATATACAGAAGCCATAAGAAATCCGATACGTTCCCCGTGACATGACGTGTGTACTGGTCCTGCCACGGTGGTGCTTCCCACTTCCTCCCTCGCGAGAAAATACCGTGACCACGATTCGCATGGATCGGCCGGATCCGCGTATCCTTCGATGATGACACTCCCCGTTGACACTTCTGCTAATGTACAGTCAGCAGAAAATACAGTTTGTTTAACGAACGAGGGTGGATTTTATTCCCGTGTCAGCCGGAAACAACGACGGTTTTCAAAACATTAAAAGGATGCGAGACGCTTGAGCGCGAGAAAATATGAGTGCGGTAAATCATTTGCAAATTATACGACGAATATAATCGAATTTACTTCTACAATAGTGTTATAAATTATTTTTATATATTTGTGGAGAAAGTACGATATGTCGGGCATTGCAAAAACATTTAGATCTAACAGTACAATCTCATAAAAAAGAGGCTGTTTTCGTTGGATCGCGACTTGACGATGTAGACATGATATATTGCGACAGTTTTCTTTCTCTCAATAAGATCCTTACCGATGGAACTTGTAAAACTGAACAGAACTATTGGTAAAATGGCGACCAATGTTTGCAAAAATTGTTCGCTAACGAATTGATCCGCTCTAATCCACTTTTTTCAATTAATATAATTAAGTACTCCGAGATAAGAATACAATAGAGAATGAGAAATCAGGGTTTTGAGGTCTTGGCGCAGCTTTACATTTTAACCCGACATTATCAAAATGGAGTATGATAAACTTCAGACGCCGAAGAAAACTCAATTCTATTTATAATGTTTGTAATAGCGAAAATATAACGTGAAGCTCAAGACCATAGTTATTTAACCGCTAAACGTGCATGTAGCCGGAAATTAAGTGAGTATCTTGCGTGTGCAGGGGCGGCGTCCCGACGAGCCCCTCGGGACAGGGGCGTCTCGTGGGCGTCTGCAAACAGACAAAAAACGTCAAATACGGGGACCACAGTCCTCCCCCGGGAGCTGTTATCGAACGATTTAACTACCTCGTTTCGATACGATATAACGCGCACGCTCAATAAAATGCAGACCGCCCCGAAAAAAGGGCAAAGTGAATTTTGAGAGATAACGAATTGCGCGCTGCGTTCAACGTATTCGCCGATAGCGGATGGTTAACGTCGGATGCGAATTCTGCCGCGTAATAGAAATTAAAGCGGCGATTAATAATTCGTATATACAACGATACACGACGGTCACGGCGATCGTGACAAAAATAGCACTGAATTACCATTAGGTCATAATCTAATTTTCGCCGGCTTATCGCTCTCTTTTCTTCTTTTTTTTTTAAGCGCGCGATTACACCGATCTACACAGCAATTTATGTAAAGAGATAACGATTGCGTGCGCTCTCTCGAGTCGTAACGATCGAATTAATTGGTATCGGTTGGCCGTAATTATCGACACACGCGCAGAGCGGAAGTATATAAGATTCAAATCGCGCGAAAGATAAGGCCGATCTAAACACGGTGGATTCTCGAAACGCCCATAACACTCGTACACGCCTAGCCCTCACGGACCGTCCTCTCTCTCTCTCTTTCTCTTTCTGTAACAAACTTTAAACAATGATACGACGATCGAGATAAAATCCCGCGCGGTATGCCACGACTGTTTTGCATACTGAAAAAAACCGGGGCCGACCCCGATAAGAGGGGTGGCGGCAAAGAGGGAGGAGGAACCTCCCCGGGCGTAATCAGCGCCGGATTATTTGCGCCGGTCCGGCGCGCGGCGGGCACGCAGACACAAAGTCATCAGCATCCAGCCGTGCATCCGAAGTGCATCCGCTGCACTTTGAGAAACGCGCGAGGTACGGCGATGACGACGCGGTGCGTCGACGGCGACAACGCCGTTGCTGTTGCATCGCTCCCGACGATAACGGAACCGCTGTTCTCGGTATTCGGTGTCCGGTGACGGCGGAGCGTGCGTGTATCGCCCAAACGCGAGATAACGCGGTGATGCTGATTAAGAT